TCATCCTATTTGCTAAAAACTTTGCATATAATTTTGTATCTATATTTAATAGTGATCTGGGTGTATAACTGGCACATTGGGACAGATCTTTCCCTTCTTTCGGTAAAATTGCAATATATGCCTGCAATGACACCGCTCTCATTTCCATTCCCTCTCCTAAAGCATTCATGTATATACACATTTTAGGCACAAGTTGTTCTTTAAATTTCCTGTAATATCTTAACGTATATCCATCTGGTCCAGGGCTCCTTCCTGCAGCTGTACTCTTAAGTGCTGTATAAATGTCCTCCTGTGATATAGATTTATCTAATACTACTAATCTACCTTCCTCTAATCTAGGTAATCTAACCTCTTTTAAGTACGCCTGTCTTTTTTTCCTTTTTTCTTCCTCTAATTCTTTTGCATTTTTAGATTTTATGTCATATAGATTACTATAACATTTTTGAAATGTTTTAGTGTGATATCAGTGGTTGAATGTACCATTTCTCCATTCTTATCTTTGATTTTCTCTATGTAACTTCTTGATTTCTTTTCTCTCAATCTTCTGATTAAATATTTTACTGGTCTATTCCCCCACTGATATCTCTCTTTTGCAACCATATTAAAGACTCTTCTCATTTTCAGTTCCATCAAATCTTTTAACTCTTCTCTTTTTTTGAGATATCTTCTGTTGTATCTCTATTTCTATTTTCTCCTTATGTAGCTGTTCTAAATCATATAGTTCCTCAATTAATAAACTTTTTTTTCTTTACCCTTTATTTCTTTTTTTCAACCCCCATTGAAATTAGGATTCCCCTAATGTAAGTCTTATGTGCTTCCCAAATAGTAGCAACGGAGACTCCTTCTATCTCAATGAGTGTAAAATATTCCTCTAATTCCCTCTTTATTCTTTTTTCCATCTTTATTCTTTTCTCAACATCCTGTATAAGTGTCTCGTTTAATTTGCACATATTACCTCCACTGGGGGGGGGGGGGGGGGGGGGGGGGGGGGGGGGGGGGGGGGGGGGGGGGGGGGGGGGGGGGGGGGGGGGGGGGGGGGGGGGCCATTCCCCCTCCAACCTTAAACTTGTTATAACAGATGTGTGATCTGATAGAGACATTTCCTCAATTTTGGACTCTAGAAGTCTCTGTTCTATCATTATGTTCAATCCAATCTTGAGTACATCCCATGCACCACAGAAAAAAGGTATAATCTCTATCGCTTGGGTGTTTAACTCTCCACAAGTCCATCAGTTGGCACTGATGTAACATTTTCTTAACTAACTTCAGATTTTTACCTCCGTCTCTCTGCTCATGCAATGAAGTATCCATCGAAGGATCCATACAAAAATTAAAATCTGCTACAATCAAGTAACCCTTCTTAAAATTTGGAAGTTTTCTTAACAAACTCTAAGTATGTCATTGAGTTCTTATTATGGCAATAAATATTTGTTAATGTGCATTGTATTCCTTGTAATTTTCCTTTCAAAAACAAAAAGCAACCTTCTGGATCAACTAATCTATCTTCCATAGTAAATCTTATATTTTTTGCCAACCCAATTGCAACCCCTTTTGCATGTTTAATTGGTGAATCCGTATAATACCACATTGGGTAGTGTTTGGAATATAATTTGACAGTTGTATCCTGTGATAAATATGTCTCTTGCAAAACACTACATCAATGGAATGTTGAAGGATTTCCCTAAGAATCTTATGCCTTTTAGTAGGGGTATTCAGACTTTTCACATTATATATCATAACATCTCTCCCCTTCTCATCCTCCTGTTCTCTTTTATTCTTAAATTAAAAAACAGGACATCGGGAGGCTCACTATGTCAAGTATATATGTGTTTGGAGGTTTGGGAATAGTGTCCTGGTTAGGGATACGTGTTTTGAGAAGAACCCCAAAGAGGAGTCGATTGTGGGATATACCACTTTAGATTCCAGGGCTTGGATATGGGCCAAAGGGGGTTAAAAATAGGGATGGGTGAGGGGAGGGGGTGGGCGGAAGTCGGGCAGGAGGATTTGGGGGTGGGGGATAAAGATCACTCTGAAAATATGTTCCTTTTCCAAATTTTATACACCTGTGCTCCTTTAAGTTGGTAGTTAGATGGAGGATAAAGTTAGTATTAGGAATGAAAATGACAGAAACAACTGAGTACTGTCCGTGATGCTTTTTTTATTTGCACTAACATACAATTCTGAGGACAAGCTTTCGGGGTATGTCCCCTTCTTCAAGGTCCAAGCAGTACTACTCACAAAGTTTTAGCAGAATGTTAGAAGAGATGTGGGGGATGAGAAAAAAAAAAAAGACTAAAGATAAGACACAGCAAAAGCACAGACAGAGGGGTGGGGACAACACTCACATCACAGAGGGAGTCATGCTTGAGGTGATAGTCATAAAACTGTTGGATAATGATAGAGGAATCCCATGTCCAAATTAAGGCCGTTATCTCTTGTGTCAAATAGAATTATCATTCTTAGTTCAAAATTTTTTCTTTCCTGAATGGATTTGAAATTTCCTTTAAGAACTAAAATATTGAGGTCTCCCATTGTGTGGTCTGGTTGTGCGAAATGGTGTCCCACAGGTGTGCAAAAGTCATCTTCTTTATGTTCCTTGATGGTATGTCTGTGCAAATTCATCCTTGTTTGCAACTTCTGTCCTGTTTCGCCAACATAAGATCCTTTGATACATTTTCTGCACTGGATAAGGTACACAACATTACTGGAGGTGCAGCTGTATGATCCGGAGATATTGAAGATCCCTTTTGAGTGTCTGACACTTTTTGATGGATTGATTTGGTTGCACAGTTTGCAGCGTTTTTTATTGCAAGGTTTGCTTCCATTATTTGTCACATCTTGATCAGAAGGAAGTTTCCTACTGATTAGTTTATTTCTGAGGTTGGGGGGGTTGTCTGACGGCCAGTATTGGTGGTTGCTGGAATATTTCTTTCAGAGTTCCATGCTCTGTTATGATGGGTTGTAAATCTTTGATTATTTTTCTTATTCCTTCTAGTGCTGGGTTGTATGTGGTTACTAGAGGTACACGGTTGTTTGTTTTTTTTTCTCTTTGTACTGAAGCAGATTTTCTCTTGGGGTTCTCAAGGCTGTGTTTATGCTTGTGTTGATAGTTTTGTCCTTGTAACCTTATTTATGGAAGGAGTCTGCTAGTGTCCCGAGATGTTTATCTCTGTCTCTTGGGTCAGAACATATTTGGTGGTATCTAATGGCCTGACTGTGTATGATAGCACGTTTCGTGTGTTGGGGGTGGAAGCTAGAACTGTGGAGGTAGTTGCACCTCCAAATTTATTTGGACAGTTTCTACTCTCATAGGTTATCTTATACAATGGTAGGGCCACATTAGCTGCTGACTTCCAGCTATCTATCATGGGTGGGGTAGATTGTTTCCATTTTCAAAGAATTTCCCTTCTAGCATAATATAGGAGAAAAAACAGACACATTTCTGTGTGTATCCAGCCTTGTGCTTTATATTCAATTTCAATAAAGTGGATCGTTTTGAGAGTTTGGCCTTCCGCACTAATTCCTTGTCCCATAGTAAAACATTCTTGAGGAAGACATCTGCAGACAGCTTACAGTTATGCTCTTGACTAGTTCCTGGCCCTCTGCTAGACTTTTTTTACACACAGCGACCACAGTTAAAGTCTATTTAATGGTGAATTAAGAGAAAATTAACGTTTATTATCATAGAGGGAAAAATGCTATCTATAAGTCAAAATGTGCAGTAACTTGAGTTATGATCTTCTGCACTTTGAACGTCATTGTTTGTTAAACTGAACAAATTTAGAAGGGTGTAGTTTCAATGTAGATATTTCTTTACAAGATGATTTGTCCTATATATGTCCTTTTATTAGCACTGATCACTGTATTAGTGTCATTGGGATGTCAGTGGAAGTTAGTCAGTTCCCACCCAGTGTCAGAATGCCCACCACAATCCCACAGTACTGCTATAAGTTGCTGATCACCGCCATTACTAGTGTAAAAAAAAAATTCCAGTATACATGCAGCCATTTGTAGATGCTATAACTTTCACATAAACCAATTAATTTACATGTATTGGGATTTTTTTTTTATCAAAGACATGTAGCAGAATACATTTTGGCCTAAATTTATAAAGAAATTAGATTTTTTTTTAGTTTTTTTACTGGGTATGTTTTATAGCAAAAAGTCAAAAATACTGTTTTATTTTTCAAAATTGTCCGTCTTTTTTTGTGTATAGCGCAAAAAATAAAAAAAAAACGCAGAGGTGATCAAATACCACTGAAAGAAAGCTCTATTTGTGGGAGAAAAGGACATAAATTTAATTTATGTACAGTGTTGCATGGCCGCACAATTGTCAAAGTAACGCAGCGCCATATTGCAAAAAATGGCCAGGTCAGGAAGGGGGGCAAATCCTCTGGAGGGCAAGTAGTTAACATCACAAGCTGTATATACCTTCTTGGCAAATGAGGTGTTCAAGACTTGCCTATAAAAGTAACAGACCAACCCTGTCATGCTGTCCTAAGTGTGCCAAGCCCTCTATGGAAAGTAAAGTAAATTTTGTTCCTTGAGAGTATTGATCCTTAGCATGTACATCACTTGTATTTAATTATTAGTTGTGAGCCTGTATATACTGATATTAAGAGACTGACGTTAAACAGTTAAAACAGGAGCAATGAGAACATAGGATATTTGGAAATGCTTTTAAGATGATAATCATGATACATGACAGATGTGAAAAGATTACAGAAATTAAATGGATTATACATTAATGCAGGGGTGTCAAACTGGCAGCCCTCCAGCTGTTGCGAAACTACAAGTCCCATCATGTCTCTGCCTTTGGGAGTCATGCTTGTAACTGTCAATCTTGCACTGCCTCATGGGACTTGTAGTTTGGCAACAGCTGGAGGGCTGCCAGTTTCACACCCGTGCATTAATGATTACACAGGCTGACCCATGAGCAAATAAAAAGCAAATTATATCTATTACATACGTTATTCACAAAAATTTAGCATATTACACACCTCAGTAATGCGTGGGTTGGTGCACTTGACATTCCTACTGGACCAGTCCAGCCACTGGTTTTGGTTAGATGTACAGTGATGTTGTAAGGTACACCTCCCTTCCCCACTGCACCATCCACACTCGTATTTATGATCGGCTTTCAAGCAGAGACCACAGCTTTCTCTTTGAGCCGAACATTTGTACAGATGAACTATAGGGAGAGCAAAAATAAAAATAATAAAATCTTGGCAAATTAAGCTAAGTGATTGTTGCTTTTTAATACATCATTCCCTAACCTATTATTGCATTTTCTAATAACAATTTGATGTATGCTTGTTCTGGTCATTGACTTAGAATGTACTAAAGACTAGCGGTAGCTAGGCAGTTAGCACTTTTATGTACTTTAAGGTAAGCGATATTAGTCCTTTTATTTCTCTCAGAACTGTTTTTACTTAAAAGCTAGTACTACTCATAGGGTTAACAGTATAGGGTTAACAACATAATGTGTCTATGGGTAACCTGTTTACCTGGTATATTTATATAGTACATTATATTTCAAAGATATACTGTTAGTTTGCTATTTACAATCAGTGAGAATATTTATTCTTTCTTTTTATTTCTTTTACCTTTGATATCATGTGGATTGTCAATGATGAAATTTCCATTCCAGACGACCGAGAAAACCACAGGTAGGTCACTGATATCCATTCCCTCATAAAAATACTGCCAACAAAGCAAACATGAAGTTAGAACCGTTTTAAGGGAAATATATTTGCAGAATTAAAGGCTAACTGATACTATAGTGAACTGAACTTTCAGCCTGGCTACCTAATGACAGAAGCTGTGACAGTTATGAGAAAATATACAACTTTCCCAGATGCAGTTATGCAAAGTGCTTTGCGAAAAGTTTAGATGTATGCCAAATCTAGGGTCTACACCAGGGGCCTGCACACTTTCTAAATGAAGTGCCAGTTTACTGTCTTTCAAACTTTAGGAGGGCTGGACTGTGGCCAGAAGGAAAATGTCTTGGTATCAGTGGGAGTTAACAGTGTCCCATCTTTGGTGTCAGTGGGATGAATAGGGCCCCATAATTGGTGTAAGTGGGAGTAATAGTGCCCCACCGTTGGTGTTAGTGAAAGGAACAGTGCCCCATTGTTGGTGTCAGTGAGAGAAATAGTGCCCCATGGTCTGTGCCAGTGGGAGGGATAGTGCCCCACTGTTGGTGTCAGTGGGAGGAATAGTGGCGCATCATTGATGTAAGTGGGAGGAATAGTGCCCCATTCTTAGTGTCAGTGGGAGGAAAAGTTCCTCATCATTGGTGTCATTGGGAGGAATAGTGCCTTGTTGTCGGTGCCAGTGGAAGGAACTATGCCACCAACAGTGGGGGGAATAATGGCCCAAGGGCCGGATAAAAGCAAACAAAGGGTTGCATTTGGCACCAGGGCCACAGTTTGGAGACCACTGGTCTACACTATGCAGTCTTTATTTGCTACATACGATTATCTCTCAACAACGTTACATGCACAACTGTTTGCAAAATTACACAGCTCAAATTGTATCAATGGTCAACATTTAAAATCATATATTTAATTCCACATTTTATATCAATTATTTCTAGACTACTATTAATATAAATGATTTTGACATATGAAAATTTCCTTTTTATGGAATCCCACACATTTATGTTTTTTGACCTCTGTGATACATATTCATTATATCCTGTAATATGCACTATTGCAGATTTCACACAGCCTGCATTCTGAACTACAAAGGTGCTGAAAGGAGTTTTAGGAGGTAGTGCAGGAAACATACCATATCATCACAGCCTTCAGTCAACAAGGTAACATGGGATATGTAAATCTAAAGTAAGATAAGATGGATAAGGATAAGGTGATACTCATTTAGAGAATCTATGTAGATGTGGAAAGTGTTGGCCAGCAAATAGACAGCACTCACAACATGAATGGAGTTTTTTTTTAAATCTTATATTGGATTGTCAAAAATAACTATCATTTGACAATGCTGATGTTATAAAATAAAAGTATAGGCTATGACTATAGATCTCATTTAAAGTAATATTCAAAACCTTTCTCTAAGCTTTCTCACAGAAAATGTAATTCCAGAGAAGGGTAGGGGGTGTACCTCACCAAGTCTGCGTAAATTACAGACTACTGGGTCTTTTCTGGTGCCTATTAGAATGCAAAATCATATTTAGACACCCTGGCAGGAACAGTAGAGGTAAAGCCATAAAAATGAAGGTTGCAATATCTATCTGGCTGCAGATCTATTTGTTTGACTTAAACTGGGCATCAAATGCCAGCAAATAAAAAAACTGAAATTAAAAAGACCTTAAAAGACCCATAAAATCTTACAACACTGCTTTTCCTATTGCATGTCTACTAAATCAGAGCTGTTTAGCATGCAGGCAGCATCTGTTTTGGATTTTGGGTTCTGCACATAGTATGAATGGATCCGTAGATTAGTGGGATAAGAAAGGCAGGGCACTCTCCTGTCACTCTGTCTACAAATTCAAATCAATGAGAATATACCTGGATGATGTGTGCTTGGTCTGGGTCAGTCTAAAGTATAATGGAGTAGAGAGACCTATTTGTTCAGGGCCACTACTATTTAACCAACGAATACTGGGGTATTATCATGTGATTTATCTCTACAAATACCATTGCCCACATAAAGATACACTATAAGGTGTTGGGAAGCCTGCTTTTACATCCACATGAACTTTAATGGCATCCCAGTCTTAGTCCGTAGGGTTCAATATTCAGCTGGCCCACCCTTTGCAGCTATAACAGATTCAACTCTTCTGGGAAGGCTGTCCACAAGATTCAGGAGTGTGTCTATGGGAATGTTGGACCATTCTTCCAGAAGCGCATTTGTTAGGTCAGGCACTGATGTCGGACAAGAAGGCCTGGCTCGCAGTCTCAGCTCTAATTCATCCCAAAGGTGTTCTATCGGGTTGAGGTCTTTATGGACCTTGCTTTGTACACTGGTGCACAGTCATGTTGGAACAGGAAGGGGCCAACCCCAAACTGTTCTCACAACGTTGGGGGCATGAAATTGTCCAAAATGTCTTGGTATGCTGACGCCTTAAGAGTTCCCTTCATTGGAACTAAGGGACCAAGCCCAACCCCTGAAAAACAAACCCCACACCATAATCCCCCTTCCACCAAACTTTACACTTACATAGTTAGTCTGGCTTTCTTTTTAATGGTTGAACTGGATGGACGTTTGTCTTTTTTCATCCAGACTAACTATGTAACTATGTAAAAGTCCATCCAGTTCAACCATTAAAAAAAAAAAAAAGTTATAATCCTATACCCACAGTTGATCCACAGAAAGGCAAAAAAAACAGCAAAGCATGATCTAATTTGCTCCTGCAGGGAAAAAAAGTCCTTCCTGATCCCCCGAGAGGCAATCGGATATTCCCTGGATCAACTTTACCTATAAATGTTAGTATCCAGTATATTCTGTGTATCTAGGAAAGAATCCAGGCCTTTTTTAAAGCAATCCACTGAGCTGGCGAGAACCAATTCTTGAGGGAGTCTATTCCACATTTTCACAGCTCTCACGGTGAAGAAACCTTTCTGTGTTTGGAGATTAAATTTAATTTCCTCCAGATGTAAAGAGTGCCCCCTTGTCCTCTGTGATGACCTCAGGGTGAATAGTTCTACACCGAGTTCACTATATGAACCACTGATGTATTTAAACATGTTGATCATATCCCCCCTTAATCTCCTCTACTCAAGAGAGAATAAATTCAGTTCCTCTAATCTTACCTCATAGCTGAGCTCCTCCATGCCTCTTATCAGTTTGGTTGCCCTTCTCTGTACTTTCTCCAGTTCCCCAATGTTCTTTTTGTGAATTGGTGCCCAAAACTGAACTGCATATTCCAAATGAGGCGTTACTAATGATTTGTACAGGGGTAAAATAATATCTCTCTCTCTCTGGAGGCTATACATCTTTTAATACAAGAGAGGATTTTGCTCACTTTAGAAACTGCAACTTGGCATTGCATGCCATTATTAAGCTTGTGATCTACCAGAACTCCCAGATCCTTCTCCACCTTACATTTATCAACATTAAACCTCATTTGCCACATAGTTGCCCAATTAAACAGTGCATTGAGATTGGCTTGTAAATTGAAGACATCCTATAAGGATGTTATTCCACTGCACAGCTTGGTGTCATCTGCAAAGACTGAAATGGGATTTTTAATCCCAGACCCTATATTGTTTATAAATATATTAAAAAGTAAGGGTCACAACACTGAACCTTGGGGTACACCACTGACAACCCTAGACCATTCAGAGTATGAATCATTAACCACTATTCTTTGAATACGATCTTTTAGCCAGTTTTCTATCCATTTACATATGGATTTTTCCAAGCCTGTAGACTTTACCTTACACATTAGCAGTGTGGGGAACAGTGTGAAGCGCTTTTGCAAAATCCAAGTATACCACGTCCACCGCCACCCCTCTGTCCAAGGTTTTGCTCACCTCCTCATAAAAAGAAATCAGATTTGTTTGACAACTTCTGTCTTTCATGAATCCATGCTCTGTTGCTTAAAATATTTTTTTCCAGCAAGAACTTATCTATGTGGTCTTTTATTAAACTCTCCAGTATCTTCCCAACTATAGAGGTTAAACTAACAGGTCTATAATTAATTGGTAAAGATTTTTACCCCTTTTTAAATATTGGTACCACATTGGCCTTACGCCAATCCAGTGGTACTATGCCAGTCATTAAAGTGTCCCTAAAAATTAGAAGCGATGGCTTTGAAATGTCAGAGCTCAATTCTTTACGGACCCGTGGGTGTATGCCATCCGGTCCAGGTGCTTTATTCACCTTTATTCTGTCTGAATATTTTTGGATAATATCAATTGTGAGCCAATGTGGATCATCTGGAGCTGTGTCAAAACCATGCCCATTATTATGGACAAGAGCTTCCTCATGCTCCTTTGTATACACAGAGCTGAAGAAGGTATTTAATACATTTGCCTTCTCTTTGTCCTCAGTCACCCACTCTAGATTATTTTGTAAAGGATCTACATGCTCGGACCTGACCTTTTTATTATTAATATATTTTAATACTTTTTTGGGGTTGGTCCTGCTATCTTTTGCAATCTGTCAT